TGGCGGACAGCGCTGACAGCGCCGAGCTGTCCAACGTCGCCATCCGTCAGCGAGTGCGCTTTCTGGCCCGAGAACGTGGGAATTCAGGTGGATGTCAAGGTTGGTTTTCTCCGGCGTAGCGCCCGGAGCCGGCTCCAAGGCTCTCGCGCGCGCAGTTCTGGGGACCATATGGAAAATGACGGCACAGTTTTTCACCGCTTGTTAGTTACCGAGTAACCCTGCTTCAAAATGAACGTCGCTGTGGTTAAATGACCTGACAAGAGAATAAATTGTGATTATTTCATGAACATTTTCTTATACGGCTCTTCACATTGAAAGATTTTACTGATTTTTGTTTCTCTGGCCGATTTGTAAAACTATATTTTCGTAGTTTCTTCAACAGACGGAATATGTATCATTGCGTATTCCTATTTTAATAGAAATCTTCCTGTTTGAAATAAATTTTTAAGACTAAGAATATATTCTTCTTGAAATTACCAAAAATATTTCGCAGCGCGTCTGTGGTCAATTTGTTAGGATACCTGCTCCACCATTCGCCTGGTGTATGATCGGCGAAACCCGAAAAAACCTATCGGAGCAGACCGCGTACCGGTAGAAATTCTCTCCAGAACAGCTGAATTCAATCTAGCTGTGTAGCTAGTGTCAAAAATCCACCAATCGGGACTCGAAAATCCGCAATCTTCCCGGTCAAACACTGCAATAGCAAGAGCTGATATCCTGAGCCTTTTCAACCGGTTGACATAAATGAATGCCGATCATAATACACTTGCTCAACATTTAAATCCTTTAAAATTCTTGAAAAACATAAAGTGAGCTTATTTATTTATTTTTTTCTTGATGCGTTATTGATTTTTATTGCCCTTTGATATAGCATTGCATAATAATTTTACCTTGGATCCAGAGGATCACGGGTTACGAGAGAAATACGAAATCGTGACGGTGCTACAAGTTCTCTAATGGACAGAAGAATTAGCAAAAAGAATACGGTATAAATATGAAAGAACAAACCGAGTAAAGTTAGCAACTAGTTTAAATACGTAAATACAGTCAATCTGAATCATTAAAAATTACGTTTAAAATATAAAATCGTAAATTATGTACCTGGCGGTCATGGTTTCTATGACGCCTTGGCTTCTGATGGCATAAATAATCTATTTTCGATTATGTAAATGGGTGAAAACCAGAACGGCTAAGTGATATTTTATAAAATTCTGAGAAAATTCTTCTTATATTAGTTCAATTTCACTGTAAATTCGTGGTGCTTAAAACCACGGCAATTTCAAATTGTTTCATTAACCACCCACGAAATACACAATTGCCATTGCCATAAGCCTAAAATAAACACGTTTTTTCGGATTATAAAATTCACTTATAGCGTTCTAGTTTTCACCCATTGCACATACTTCTTCAAATTGATCGCTTGCTGCTTCTAACAGAATGCCGCGTAGTAGCCGCGCGCGAAGGCGTGGCGTTGCAATAGTGAGGCCAGAGCGCCCGGAGATGAACCATTTTTCGCCGTGTTTTTTCGTCGTGTTTTTGCGCTGCAGAATACCGGCGGAACGCCGGTCGCCGGCCTCACCCGTGCGTGAACACTTTCCTCGGCAAAAATCTTGGCCAGCTGTGACGCACAGAGGGCGTTTTTCAATGCCGCGCAGCGCTTGCGGGTCACGCGCACACCTTTGAACGGCAGACGCCCACAACCCCCTTGCGACTTCGCCAACCAGCTTTGGGATACGCTCGTTAGAGTGACTTGGCCCTATGGCTCAGCGCTCTTGGTGAACTAGGGGCCGCTAATGATTTTTTTGCAAAGTCAAAAATTAAGAGGGGTGCCAAGACGGTGTGCTTTGTAAAATGTTATACTGACTCGACGTGGTTATTTGTATTATGCTCTCATTTCTATATTTGTTTTTTTTTATATTGATTATATTAGTGGTTATAATAAAAATATTCACAATACTCGTATGTTTGCATGTAAAAAACGAAGTCTCAAACAGTAAATTATCCAGTTTTTCAAAGCTTGCTGCCATTTTATGATCTGTTTGTTTCCACCTTTATTGCAATAAGACCTCATTTTCCTGGCTTAGTTTTAAGTGCTAACTTCAGTAACATTTACAATAGCTTCCTTCTATGACAATAGCTGATGCACAAAGCAGATGTTTTTAAAGTTTCTAAATTCGTTCTCCTTATATTACTGTGGTTTCATTTAAATGATTGGTTTTTGGTCGTGAAGACACAGAGTAATACGAGGAATTTTTATTACGCACGCCGTCGCCGTGCGCGACGCTGCCTCCAACTAGTACCTCGGAACGAGAATACCTAGAATACTCTGTTTCTCCAGAGTGCGCCTGTTTAACTACAAATGCAAGCCTGCAATGAACTTTTCATGTGCTGCATAAGAATGGAGGCGCTTCTATATAGTGTATCTATATAGTTCTATACTAGTTCCATTGGAATCCACGCAGACCGCTTTTTATCTCAGTGTCCCGTTTGACAGTGAACTGCATTAGCTGAATGTGTTAGGAAAAACAGAAAAACTACAGATCGGAGCAGTCGGCCGCTTATGAATCCCCCTCGTGACACCGGGCCTGACTTCCAACCTCAGCCACCCAGTCGAAAATCCCGCCATCGGTCGATAATCGAACTCCTAGGACGCTTTCCTGTCCAGTATGCAGCCAAGACCACGTGGCCCTGAGTTAAAACACATTTGGTAGCAGTCTATGTATTTAATCAATTCAGGAATAAGATAATAACGCCACGCCTTGATATTATGATAACTTGATTAGTCAACGCACCTAAAATGTCAACATGTTGGAATTTTAAAAATCAATCATTCTAAGTTTCCAAGCAAGCTAAAAATAATACTCGTCATTTTCCTTGCAATATACAGATATTGTAATTGTAGTTACCCTAACTGCAATCAGCTTCATTGCAGCTTTATACTGTTCTTTCTGGATACAAATGCATGCAAAACAAACTAATATGAATGCAAATCATGACAAGAATCATATATCTAAAGACAATTAGCAATATGCACTATATGTGTTAAAGAACTGTACTAAGAATTTCACCTAGGATATTAATAAACCAACACAGTACATATCCTCTCTCCTTTATTCATGTCTTTTGGAAATACAGTTTCTATCCGCATTCACGGGTGGCTGTTCGTTGTAAGGGTACTACTCCGGCATTGCATGGTGCGTATATCGGAGAAAACACGGGAAAATACTGACTATTAGAGCATCCGTCCATATAATTCTCCCGTCCAGACAGCGAACTGAATTCTATCTAGCTGCCAAGCGACTGGTCGAAAAATCTTCCACAATCAGGACGTGGAACATAAGATACGTCCTGTCAGATGTACTTCAAGTGTGACATCAGTTGTGTCCTGACCACATAAAGCTGGGTCAAATTTATGTTGGAAATCTATTTTTTTCTGGATTTTTTTTTTTACATTTGAGTGTGTTGTTTATATAACTCGATTTATTGTAATAAATTGCAAAAAATGCAAAAACGCAAAAATAATTTTAGTTTTTAAGAAAAAACTATTAAATTACGTAACGGAAGAGTTTACAAGAAGTGTTTTCTGTATTTCGACAAATCTAATGCAGTGATTGCCTAGTATTAAGTTCTGGTTGAAAACTCATCTGCTCATTCTGAAAAAGGACTTCAGTACACTTAGAAGAAATGAGGTCGCGGAGTTCAGAGCGGTCCAGGTAAGTACGGTATGAATCTTATTTGTCTGCACTTTCCGCAAGGTACTTTCCCTAACTTCGTAAATGTGAAAAAAATGGGAGAAGACAATTTAATTAATTGTAAGTTCTTCCTCGTTAGAATGAGTTTCTTGCTATGATGTTCATTTTATTTTAAATAGTTTTCAACTCTTTTTGGGTTTGCACAGATAAAATGCACAAGAAAAATAACCTCACAAATTAAATGTGGTACCTTGTACAACGTTTCGACAATTTTTTTTTTCCAATGTCGTCACCAGGTAAGTAAGAATTAGATATGTTTGTATCAAAAAATGAAACATGTTCTATTTTGCCTTCTAAACTTCTCCTGTAACCTGATATATGGAAAAATTGGTTGAAACTATATGCTACAGTAATTTACTTGTAATGTGTTTTGTTTGCTTATTTTATCCTTTCTCATAAAAATACAAAATTTGTGTCACATAAATTGGATATAGAAAAAGTAATTTTAACTAGGAAACAAAGATTCTTCGTATTATTTCAATTTGTATTTGAAGAGTATCAGTATTCCTTAATAAATAATAATAATAATAAATAATAATAATAATAATAATAATAATAATAATAATAATTTATTCCGTCAAATTAGCAATTTCACTTCTAGTGACGGTTTGTTGACAATAAAGTAAAAAATATATTTATTTTCCAGAAAAACTATCTGGTTTGGGGGAAAATAAATTTTACTAATAGATTTTGGTTTTTATTTCCTTTTTGTTATTCAGTCATCCCAAGGTGGCAATTTTAGGTGCTCAAATGTAACGTAGTGACTAGTTTTGTAGGGTAATGCAAGGTGTTTTTGTTTAAGATAAGAGTAATAGCAGATAAATACTCTGGCACAACGAAAGCAAAATATCGGTTGTGTTATTATCTTTCAATTTATTGCTGTTTGTTTCCAATTGATTTCTCCCACTGGCACGACGCCTAGCATTTTACTTTCTACCCTTAAGAGTGTAAGAAGAGAAACTATTGTAATTATGTGCCTGAAAACGGCGAGTTTTCGTCAGATAACTCTTTGTCGCCGCCTTGTAACGAAAATGTGATAAATCCGTTCCTGTCCATTGAAAATTACTTCCTCTAACGACATCGTTTAGTAAGAAAACACCAACATTCCGGATCGACTAGCCTGAATGGGGGGGGCGGGCCTTAGTATCAGCGAGCTGCCGCTGTGAGCCAGTTCCACTCAATACCGTTGTGACACTGCAGCGCTTCTTATGTAAGTTTTCGAGGCAGCATGAAGTGTGAAGTGGGATCGCCACTCTTCAACAAGGGCCAGGTAATGAGCAAGCTTGGCTCATTCTCAGCCAATGGTGAGTTTAAATAATTGCTTAAGTCGCAGAATAATTACAACGGAAAATAGAATGGAGGTCGCCCGCACCTGCTGTTATTGACACAAACGCTTCGTAGGCGACCAGGAAACAGCCTCAACGCAGTTTTTTGAATCTTCAACCGCATGGACACCGAAAAAAGGTTATCGTGGATTGTGAAGCCAACAAAATCCCTAAACGAATTAAAGAAGAAATGTGTAGAACCGAGTAAATCTTAATGTGAAACCTAATTGAGCTAATGAATGTAACCTTTGTAACAGATTATCAAGACACTTTCTTTTACTCTCTCACAATCGGCTAATGCGATAGAGAGACAGTATGTAACACTGCGCGAAAAAATGGAAATTTTCAGCAGAAAACCTGGTAACCGAAAATCTGGATAAATTAGTTGCTAAATTTGGAAAAAAAACATCCTCTAGCATTTGTAGACAGAACCCATGTTTGTAGGTTCCTTGATACCGAACAGTTGATTGAAGGCAAACCGCTGTTCTCATGTGGTCTGTGACAAACGCCTAGCGGCTAAACTGTTCGCGATTTTCTTCAAAATTTCTATTCCGCATAAATCGGCTGATGTCACGCTTTCTTGAATTTTAACCGATATTTTTGATTTTAGAGAGTACTTGCATAACAGCCCCTGAGACCAATTCTCAAGAATTTTCAAAAAGAATGGCGCCATCGGATTTGATGAAATTTTCATTGTTCAATAGTTTAAAGAACTCTCTTATGGACTGGCAAATTTAACCCCAATTTTTTAAAATTGAAACAAATCAAACATTTTCGGGTCTTGCTACAAAACTAACAATATTAAAGATAGAGATTTTTTCCCTTAAAGAAAAACTGTTCTCTTACAGATAGATGTTGAAGTAAGGTCATGTAAAATTTTTGGAATTTTGAAGTACTTTTGGGTAAATTTTGTGTGAAAGATAAGGCAATTTTGAAATGTAGTTTAAACAAAATTTTCCCTCAAAACTGGCTCCAACAGATTTCGATTAATTCTCTTGTTGGATAGTCTGAAGAGACCTTTAAGAAAGCGGTGCTCACGTTTGATGGAAAACACCTGATTTTTTTCCAAAAACGAAACAATTCAAAATGTGTTCCGGTGTCCTCGATGAGCATTTTTTTATGAAATGTGTTCATCAAAAACAGATCTTCAATACGGGTCATGTTGTCTGAAATGTCAAGGTCAATTGGTCTGAAATGATTCTGAGTTTTTAATTCGTCTTTCTGAGTATTTATAAAAGTAACTTAGATATTGATTATTAATTGGCATTTATGCCGTAAATGTATTAAGTGTAACCCGAAATATGAATGAATTAGACGAAATCATTTTCTGATGAATCTGGTTTATATATTGGTTGTAAAAAGAACATGAATGCACAACAGGTTTAGTTGTAGTAAATTTAAGCAGTATTATTAATGTATTTCCAAGCTGCACGAGCGGATGTTTCAAGCGAAAACATATTATGAGTGGATTTAGCGTGTTGTAGCTGAAACTGGACGGATGGATGAATTTTTGTAGAGAAATGTGTTTTATTATAGCGGGAGAAGTGAAAGTGTACCTTTGGGTGGATAAGAAATGATTATTTAAATTTGATGAACCTTCGGCTAAGAAGTATAAATGAAGTAAACAAGTAATGATAATGGGTAATGACTAAATGTGAAATCTTAAGAATGGGAATTTGTCAAATTTTTTTTCGTACATACGTAACTTACTTTCTAACGTGAAAGCTATTGTATATCGCGCTAAGCTATAACTTAAGGTTTATTTATAGTGTCGTTCACCAGTTTATCACTGTTTACTGTGTCATCGCAATCGGGAACTGGAATGCTTCACTACAGTTACGTCATTCACAGTGACGTTTCAAACTCCCGATTGGGATGACACGTAACACTGATTTACATCAACTGACCCTATTGGAGCTACCTTACGTACTGTTTTTCCCCGGAACATGCCTCTTTTTGAAGTACGACACTGCTCGGAATAATTTTACCAGAGAGGAGGCAATGACTTCTTTTTTATTTGAGTGGGACAGAGTACTTTTAAATGCGTGTGTTTAACGAATGATACGCGCTGTGTTCAAATTTTCAGTCCGCGACATCGGACAATTTATTTTTTTATATAAATGGCTTTTTACTTAAACTATGTCGCCTAATAAACCGCCAAACACCAGATCAAACTCATCTACACCTTACTCGCTTTCTCCACTGAAATGTGACAGTGCTGCCAAAAGCTGATTCAATTGTATTGGATGATGGTGCTTGTTATATGATGCTGTGCTTGGTGGTGTTATATACTATTCTGGCTGGGGTTAATACTGCTCTGTAGTGTTTAAATTTCGAGCAGGATGCCCAAAAGAATACTTGTTTAATGCAATGCTTATAAATTAAATGTTTGTTGCAAGGGCAAAGTAAAGCCAAGTTTTTTAAGGGGTTTCATTATCCACCAATTACTTGTGTATAAAATGGGAAAGACAGTAATGTTAATAAAAGTACGGCGTAGTATTGTGATTGTAAAAGTGATTGACAATCGATAGAGTATATAGTAAGTAGTATGCATTTTGACTTAAAAAATAAAATTAATATATCACAACATTTTACTTGTAATAAGTGTCCTCTTTTTTAAATAAGAAATGTTTTTTCTTATTAACGCAAGTATTGGTAAACCCTAGACTCATGTATAAATCCACGACAATTGTAATGCGCGCGCTCAATTGGCGATTAGAAAGGCCGAGCGTTTGCGTCAGCGCCCACCGCAGCAAGATAACGGCACGTCGCTCATCGCGTGAGCACGCGCACGCACGCCTCCAACGCGCAGCGGACGCACGATGGGGAAGAAGACTCCAACGCTGACAAAAAGCCTCAAAGGAAATTTTGGCGTACCGTGTTGAATCTTCTCAACGTTTAAATAAGATACAGTTCGGAGATGAAGCCGTTGACTTCATGTAGCTACGTTTTGCCATTGATTCCAATTTTGAATACTATTTCAAACATTTGCTAATGCCGCTCTTAAAGAATATCGAGCATGTACTCTTTTTGCACATAACTTCGTTTAATGATGGGGAAAACGAAATGGGGAAAGACCTCCAATGCCTGAGCAAAGTCTCAAAGGAATTTCTGCGTACACTGTTGAATCTTTCAACGTTCAAAAGAGGGTGCAGTTCGGTGGTGAAAGCCGTTGACTTCAGTAGCTACGTTTTGCCATTGATTCCAAATGTTGAACTATATTTCACATCATTTGCGAATGCCGGCTCTGAATTCTATTCGTACATGTACTCTTAATTACACATAACTCGTTTAATGAACGTAATATGACCTCTAGAACGTCTGCAATATTTTTTATGTTGTGATTTTATCTAGTTACAAATTATTTTTTCATTTTTACTTTTATTTTTTAACATATTTATTACGTCTTTGATATACTGTATTAAGGGGAGAAAAATAAATTGGAATCACCTCATCAATACTATTGCAGGCAATAGTATTCGTCGTAAAATCCATGTTTTAAAATTCTTTTTCAGCGCTACTTTTGTAACAGGTGTCAGAAGTTAAGGTCTGCTAGTGCTGATTCAAAGATAGTTAAGTGATCTAGACAATGTCTCGACACAAAGTTGTACCTGAAACTCGGACATGGGGACTGGTGTGGGTGTGAGACGCATAACTGCCAATTCCGGGCACTGTCAACATCTATGTCTTGTCTCCTAGGGTATGTGAAGTTTGTATCTCCAGGGGCAGTGGTCA